AGCCACCAATAGCGTCTCCACCTCCTGAAAGTGTTCCTCCTCCGTCGTGTGCTCCCCCTCCTCCACCGATAAGCTCTACCCCTCCTCCTACGAGCGCTGCACCTCCCATGGGTCCTCCACCTCCTGTACCTGCGCGCCAAGGTGCACCGCCTCCGTTACCTGCTCGCCCGCGACCTGTTACATAAACTTCGTACGTAAACTGTCGTTACGTAAATTCCATAGTTGTATCCAAATGCATTTTACTATATGTATTGTATAATTGGCAAAATGTATTACAAGCTGTGTGTAGAATGTTTATAAAAACCTTATAAATTATATCAATATAGGGTAGTTAAATTAGATTTAAAAGTATAAAATATAATAACTTGTTGGTTTTGTTATTGGTTTGTAGATGTATAGATTTGCACCAATGTAAATCTTTGTTCATGTTATCAAATGTTCTAAATGTTTTTCCTCTTATACAATGTTGATTTGAAAACATGAGGAGAACATAAAAAATACTAACTTTGTATTTCTTAACTGAATATGAATCTTTAAAAATATAATATTCTAAATTGCTTTGTAATAATCATTCATAGGCAAAATAAAAAATCCTCAATAACAAACTGTATGTCTGTTATATTTATTTAATTGGCCAATATTATAAGCTGATAAGAATGTAAATGTGACATTGTGATCCTTAATAATCAGTGTATTAAATATCAATAGATAAACATTGTTAATCTTTTAGCACATGTCTAATATAATACAATATCATACAGTTAGGTTTGGTTGTTGCAATACTCGTGAATTTCAATTGCCCAAACATATGTAAAATAATAAATCGTATCACATGTTTTTAAACAGAATGGGACAAACAGTTTATTTTACAAATGTTTTGAAAGTAAATAGTCACTAAAAATATGTAAAACTTGAAGTAATAAACTCTAAAACTCTAAAAAATGTATAATTGTTATAACCAATTATAACATGAAGCAAAATTCTAAAATTAAAATTAATTTGTAGATAAATTTATTCATAAATTTATTAAAAGTTGAATTTATTATAAGACTGGTTTAATATTTAATTTGAGTATTGAGTGAAATTCAATGTTTTTAAATAGTTTTTGTTAGTTATGCCTCATTGAGATTAATTAAATTTAGAAATTTGGAGAAATATTTGAAATAAATTCATGTTAACTTGAGAAAAATAGAAATAGGGTATAATAAGCTTTTCTGCTTAATTTCTAGTTGAATTAGAAGCAAGGATAAAAAATAACTATAATAAAATTAATTATTTATTTTCTGTCTGTAATTTATTCTAGCTGGTTATTTTTTTCATTTAAAGCAAGTATTTGTTACTTTTCCATCCTTTTTTTTGTCTATTTGTTAAGTTTATGTATGGCTGTGTATAAGCATTTCTTTAATCAATCTTGTTCAGGGGAATCTCTAGCCGAAATTAACATTTTTTTTTTCTTAAAATATATAAAATCTATATGTAATGTTGACAACATTTCAAATATTTTAAAACTTGAAATATTGTTTTTAATTGTTAGTATAATTAATTGTGATTTGGTGAGATGAAATATAAATTTTAAAATATGTTTCTAAATGCCGTAGGGTTAATAAATAACAACGATTAGATTTATTAAAAACTATCGATATTAATATTTTCCTGCAATTAATAATTAACTGTTATATGCATTATTTGTTAGATGTTAATTCCAATTTTGTTGTTTAGCTTTCTGTGCAGATGTATATCGCTATATCTTTTTTCCACAAGAGTAAAGTTGTAAGGGCTTTTTTACATTAGTTCACTTAATTATCTTACTTTGTAAGATTTTATTCTAATATTTGTTCCTATTTAATAGCCTTTTTTATTTTTATACCTTTATTATTTGTAGCGTAAGGTACCTGATGCACTATTTTAGTTGTTTTTTTAAATAATTTATTTTTCCTTAAAACTGCGATCAAAATATTGTAAAAATGATTTTTGACTTTTGTATTATTATTTGCGGATAAACATTTTCACTATGAAATAGTCGTGTTTATTCATATTTAAGATAAATTGTTTAAAACACGAGAAGTGTTCGTAATGTAAGAAGGGTTGGCAAATAATGCGTTATCATGCAATTTAGTCTTTAGTGCTTTATTCATAGTAGACATGTTTTTGCAAGTCTTTGAACGTTGTTAGCTAAATAGCAATTTTATAAAACAATGTTAGTATTGCTTTCCTATTTATATAATTAACAGTTGTCGAAATGTCTCATGTACCTAAAAATACTTAAATGGCGTGCGAAGTGTTGAAGAGTTCGATAGTGCGGCGAAATAAATGTATGGCCAGTTTTAATTTCAGAAACTTGAATTTGAATAGAATGTTTAAAAAACATTAACGTTGTTTTATTTCCTATTTCCATATTACCACAGATAATACAATACTATACTGGTACCTAGTATTCTTATAAGCATATAAAGAAAGAAAAAACATTTTAAATTACAGAAAAAAAAATAGGTTTTTTTTCTGGAATGGTAAACACGTAACGCACTGAAGACCTCGCCACCCGATGATCTTGGTTACATCTAGGAAGGACAGCTATCATTAAGTTAACTAATGCTAGGTAGTTTTTATATAGATTTTAGATTTTACATTCCTCTCGTAGTTGGGAAGCAGTTTGTGCATAGATGTCTGCAAAACTTTGCGAAAACTTATTTTTCTAACTGCATAATCACATTGCAACTTTATTTGTTCCTATTTGAATCTTATAAAAACAATAAGATGCATTTGATTTTGCTCTTTGTCATTTTAATAAACCCAATGAAAAGACTGGATTTTAAGGTTAAATTCTTTATTCCAGCTTACAAGGAAACACTATAACACAATGATTGCATCTAACATTTAAATTATAATAATGCAAGAAACATTTAGTTCTTCTTGGGGACTGCATGTTTGTAGACAGTGTGTGCAATACCGCCCAAGCCGAGAATGCACAGGGCCATCGTAAAGCGGTACAGGATACCGTCAAATGGACCACCTTTCAGGAACACTGGGACATCATTGTGTTTCTGAAAATTAAAATATTATTGTTTCTGAAGACCAATTTATTTTTTTGAGAAAGGCTAAGGATGATGATGATGTGGAGAACTGACCGCCAACCTTCGCTAGTCGGAGAGGCACTTTAAGAAGAAGGATGATGTATATGAACTAAATTTCTTTTAAAAACTAGGAATTAAAGAAAGAAATTAAAAAATAATACAGTAAGTCACTCTAAGTTAAAAAAATGTATTTAACATAGAATGCAATTAACAATGTGACTCATTTTTAGGTAGGTAAATTCAATTTTAATGATGCTGTTTATAATTGACATAAGATTGGAGAAATTAAAAGTTACAGATAAAGCCCTATACATAGACAGAATACAAGCTATTCACTCCCAATCCAGTAATAATAACAAAGTAATGGTCCGAGCCGAAGCTCCCGAGGAGCCCTCGAGCTTAGTTACTCATAAACAAGGTTTAGACTGAGCGCCATCCGCATTCGGCCACCTCAAGCCAGGTGGAGCTATAAATTCCTCTTCAAGGCAACAGTGACAAATCACTCAAAAAAAAATGAAAGCTATTCACACTAAACCTTTTAATCGGAGAGGTATTTATACAAAAGGACAAATTAAATTCCAATAATCACACATATATTACCTGGAAAAGTTCTTGTTTCCTCTTGATCGACTCAGGGACAGGAGCATAGGGAACGTTGGTTCCAGGGATGAGTTTCTGAGAACTAGGAGCCGCGCAGGCCTCAGTCACAGTGGACATATGAGACGTGTTGTATTGGATTTGCGGTACTTCCACTCGTTGCAAGGCGATGGGTGCCTGTAGAATTAAGGTACACTTTAAATATGAATTCTGAAGTCATGAAAGGCTATCAAAACTTCTATACACTAATACTTACAACTGGAAACAGTGGACTCTGTAAATGGGTCGCAGAGACCAGCCTGCCGGTAACTTTGCTGAGTTGGTGATACATCTTCTTAATTCGTTCTCACGTTTATTACAGAACAGCTCCTGAAAATCTTGCCCTGTTACGAAACAAGTACTTATCGAACCGAAGTTGAAGACTTAGGTTGCGTTCTGAAACCTATTTAAATATCACTTTGTGAAAGCCCATAAAATTTGTTTTCATTGTTAAAAAAATAAATGTAAAGACTTTAATTAGGCAGGAATGGCGATTTGTTGTCTTTTTAATGAGTATATCAATTATGTACTTAGATACCTTTTTATTTTAATGAAATTAACGAAATCTCACATATAAACAACTGAACTACTCTATGATACAGATAACAAACTCGGGCAATAATTTTATTATCTGTCATGCCTTCTTTAATTTGTCTTTTCGCGTGTGTGACAGTTCTTACAAGCACATTTTCTAAAGGTTAGTGGAGAAAATTCAATTTCTAAGTTTGCTAGAGGTATAACTAAGCAAAATCTTTTCTAGTTCTAATAATGGTTATGTTATAAGCCATGACCGTGTGACATAAAATTCGAATAAAATATTCCAAATTTAAACTTCCGCGTGGCGTGTCAACTTGACTTCTGAGATTGGCTTTTGTTCTTTTCATTTTATCATTTGCCAACAAAAATATACAAAAATTTAAGTGTGTGTTTATGTTTATTACAGTTCAACAATGCAGATCTTCGTAAAAACCCTCACGGGTAAAACCATAACGTTAGAGGTTGAAGCCTCTGACACTATTGAAAATGTAAAAGCGAAAATTCAAGACAAAGAGGGCATTCCCCCAGATCAGCAAAGGTTGATCTTCGCCGGCAAACAGTTAGAAGATGGACGTACATTGTCCGACTACAACATCCAGAAGGAATCAACACTTCACTTGGTGTTGAGGCTGCGAGGAGGTAATGATACTGTTACACCACTACTATAGTTTTTGATTCAACATAGTTTACTTATTTTACTAATATCATAAATTCAAAAGTGGAGATGTTATGATGAAATGGATGTTTGGTAATTTGTGACAGAATATTCTGGGTTAGCACATAAGTTTTAATTTCATGCATTAGAAGGTGACACCCAGTATTCCATAAAACTGTAACTGTGTCTTTTACAATTATAAATATTATTTTTTAGGTACCATTGAGCCATCTCTCCGTATTTTGGCCATGAAATACAACTGTGACAAGATGATCTGCCGCAAGTGCTATGCCCGTCTTCACCCTCGTGCTACCAACTGCCGCAAGACCAAGTGTGGCCACACTAACAACCTCCGCCCCAAGAAGAAGATCAAGGATTAAGCATTTCATTTTCATTTCACCAAAAAAATGGCAATTTTTAAAATGTAAACACTTGAAAGAATAAAGAAGTGATAACCAATTTTTTGTTTCATTCATTTAATTCCTTAACATATTTACAAAATTCATGGAATAATCCTAAGTTTCATCATAATTTAATTGGTTTGGTTCAGTTCCTAAGACACACTTCATCACTTTGTAGGAAAGGAAGATTTCAAACACCTTGGCCATATCATGTATAATCATATCACTGCATTAATGCATATCATCACCAATAATTGCATGTCATAAATTTTGCTTTGCTTTGGAATATTTTAGTTTGCCTAAATAAGATTGTTTAATTTGATAATGACGCATATTGAGGATCAAATTAATTAGAAGGCAAATGCCATATTTAATCGATGGGTATTGTAGTGAAGAACAAACACGCATAGTGAATAACTATGAACTATCATTATTCGGTTTAAATAAAATTTATAGAATTTAACTAAAATTATTTTTTACTTATTAACTAGAGGACAATTCTAGTAATGAATATACTGTAGACAATATAGCGTTAACAATAATAACTAAATCCAATTTGTTTAAGTACAACTGTAGTAGTAAAAATATTTATTAACTCATTTTTGGGTATTGGTTCAGTAGTAGGTCATTATTGATTTGAGAAAACAGTGTTTTTTTTTTATTTTGTATCGATAGGTATGGTCCATAAGGTATAACTATAATTCTATCAATTCCAACTTTTACGAGAGTAAAAATCGAAAATCGAAAAGATTCATGCCTAATTTCACAACCCATCCCTACTAAATTAAACTAATCACCCTTATTTAGACAGCCTATATTTTTAATTACCTATGTATATTGGTGCAGCCAGCCAACCAGTGCACTGGCTGATGATTAACAAGCAACCCTGGATCACTGGATAAATGGAGTGAAAAAGAAACTATGGTCTGGGAAGAGACTAACAAAGGAGAGCCAAGGTTCTTTTAAGATCCCCATTTCACTTTGTTAGTTTTTTATATAGTCCCTCTATGTTCCGTTATTATTTCAAAGCATAAAGTAATTAAAAGTAATAATATTTCATTTTATAAGCCTAACATTTTGTATTATAACTGTGGACATCAAGTTAGCATTGCCTTGTTAAAAGGTATTAAAAAAATTAAAGCTAAAAGAAGTTATCACATCATTTATTTAAAAAGAAAATATAAAAATATATTCAACGTATATAAAAAGCAGTATGTTTTACAATATGCTTAAGTTGAGGTAGTCTTATAAAAGCGACATAAAACTAAGCTAATGGACGGACTTTTAAACTTTTACAAATTTAAAATTGCATTAAACCATTCCAAAATGGACCACTTTAATTTTAGGCGGTTGTGGAACAGGATTCTCTGAAAATAAGATTGTGAATATTACAAATCAGTTATAAATGTACATAAAATATACATAAAAAAAGGAATATATATAGACACTCATGTAAAGGTCATGCAAATCATCATGCACAATTTTTTTTTTTAATAAAGGTGCAAGAGAACTATATATTATACAATATAAACTCTGCAATGCAATGCGGCTATTTTAAACAAAAGAAACTCACAATTTTAACTGGGTTTTTTGACTGCCCTTTGAGATTATGTGTTAACATACCATCACAGCCAAATCAAGTATCAAATAAACAAACTTTTTCACTGTGCTATTTCTTCATTCACCCTGTATTCCATGCATTAACATATGCCAAATTAAGCCTTGAACTAAAAAAAGAAAAAACTGAAAACCGACATCTGTTTCTACTCATATTTAGGGCTTAATTTGGAATATATAAGACATATAGAAGTTAATTGTGATGCATGCATATTTGTGCAAAATGTTAACACACATTAGTGGCATTGGCATGCGTCACACTTCCACGTAGTCGAGCGTAGTACCGGCTGGCGATTGCGTCGGCGATGGCGATATGGGGCTCGTGGCGATTGACTTGGCGATTGTTGGCACCTTGCTGATTGTTAACTTATTTGTAGGAAGCTTTGGTGGGGGCTTCGGTACTACGGGCGCGGGGGCGAAGGCCGCTAGGTACTTGTGGGGTGCGCACAGAGGTAGACTATCTGCTAACTCGTGTGCGGTGTCCGGTGATGATGGAGGTTCCTAAGGGAAAACAAGTAACATTGCATTAAAAATTATGGGGATTAAATATGCTGTACTTTAATAAATCATAAGGGCAGCCTTCACATCATGAAGTATTTGGGTACAACAACTCCAATATGGGTTTCAAATGTGTTTGCCGTATAGAATTCAATGTTAAATTCAAGATGGTCTCCATAGCAAAAAGGAAAATGGTAGCCATCTTGTATTTAAACTAACATAGTTGGTGAGCAAGCTAATAGTAGGAAAAAAATGACATTTCAGCATAGGTTAGTGTTTATTCACCTATCTATGTGCATGCTGTAAATTACTAAATAGAACAGTAATACTAGTACTTAATATATCTAAAACATTTATAAAAAATAGCGATCAAAACTTACCGATACAACTGCAACAGTGACAGTATCAGAAAATTTAACTTTATTCTTCTCGAGTGGTTTCCCCGACCAAGTACTGTCATGTCTGTACAATCTTCCGTTAGCATTTGTGCTGATATTACTCTGATATCTATATGTAGTTGGTATCGCTTCTCTCAGATCAGTTTGATAAACATGTTTGAAGTGAATCTTGTCGTCTTGTACTCTTGGTATTGCATCAAATATGTGAGATCTTTGTATATCGGAGTTGCTTATAGGTTTCCTATAATTCATCAACGTGTCTACACTTTGCCACTTCACTGTTTGGTTTTTGATCGGTTTGAATTGTTCTTCGTACATTTTTCTATCAAGACATGTGTCGTCTCGTAATTCTGTGTTCCATATAGTGTTGTCTCTTTCTAGATATTGATGTAGGTTAGGTCTGATGCTGTGTGTGGATGTCGGCTCGTTCTGTGTTATGGGTACGGGTAGTATGGTGGGCTGTGAGGGTT